AATTTACAAAAAAAAAAACCCCCACTTTTTTTTTTTTTTTTTTTCAGAATAAGGCATTGCCACAGCAGCACTATGTGAATACTAAAAGGCTAAGAAATTAAATGCCAGTTCAGTTTTTCCACTGACATTCAGAATGAGACGGTCGAATACTAAACAACCAATAAGAAATTCAGAAGTAACCAGGATAAAGGCATTTCCTGGTGAACTGAGAAAGCCAGATTAAGTTTCAATTGGCCCCTTCTTCTGCTTATCTAACAGTATTTTATTTAAAATTCATCACCCATGACCTTAAGAATCAAGAGTACAGCTGAAAAAAAATGGATCAAGCAATATGTTTGATTACTGGAGTACATAAATCACTATCAGTTTATCTTGCACACCTCTGTTACTCACAAATTTCACTGTGTAAAATTTTCTTAAACGTTTTTCTTTTCTTACCTCTCAAATTACTTACCCTCAGAGAATTCTAAGCAATTAATTATTCTTGGTTTCTTAACCAAAAGCAACAAATCAAATTTACTGTGATGCTTAAAAATTTCTAGAACTCCTAAATTTTGATATTTACAATATATTACAATAAAGATATGATGCATTTTAGATTAATGTCTCTCTTTTTGTGACATAAAAATTACAGTTCCTTTAAAAAAGGAATTGTACAGTTGAAGTGTACCCAATGCACACAAGACAAAAAGTTGGCGTCAGACCTTCATGGCTATGATGATATTAGCATTCTAACAAATATGGCTTTTCTACAGAGGAAAGTTATCACCACTGACAACTTCCAGTATTTTTCTGTTGCTCTTCCATCCATCAAATATTTCAGATAAATATATATAGGTTTTATATATAATATATAAATATATATAACCTGTAATTTGAACTATGTAGCTAAATAAACATTTCTGAATGCCATAAAACCTAATAGTGATTTAGAAATTAATTTGAGAATTTTTCGAGTGTTCTGCTTTACTGTTATTGTGTTTCTCAGTCTGTTTTTATGATGGTAGGAGTTCTGAAATTTTTGAGATCAAACAGTCACTTCAAAACTTGATCTTTTTGACACTGAGGTTTGCCATGTTATATTCTAGTATGTAACTAAACAAATCTAGATTGAATTCATGATTAGTCTTTACTGTGGCTAGAATATCTTCATGTAATAAATATAAAAATTAAGTAAAGCATTAGAGAAGGTAAGAACAGAACAAATGAAAAAATCTTAAACTGCCTCTATTTCAAGATAAAAGTTAATTTTACGTCAGGCTTCTAGAGGCATCACACTCCAAAGAACCTCAACAGTAAGAGGCTGTGTGCGCTCTGAAGAACAAAAACCAACACTAGATTAAGGAAGAATCTCCCATTTCTGATGGAGACTCAGTTACGCTTTTTACCCTATGTTCAATCTAGCAGCTTGCTTCTACGGCAACTACTCTTCATGTTCTATCTTTGACTAAACTGAAACCACCACTGCTACCTTTCCATATCAGATAGGAGAAGCAATGATAACACAGGACAGGAAGAAGAGAGCTTGCTAATAATTAACAAGAAACAAGAAGGATGCTGTAGAGGTAAACAAAAATTCCCAAGTTACAGAAACTATTCAGAGCTGCTCAAAGTTTAATTGGCATTCATCTGAAGTATCTGTGCATAACAAGGGAGCATAAGACTAATTTAGCCATTCGTCACAGAATGAAGAACAGTTCTGCTGCTAGTCCACTACTTCTATAAATACTACAGCAGCTTGTAGAAGTCCCAAAGAATCCCACTTATACGTTCAGAAATGCATACTGTACTTACTTCTTTCAGATTACTTATTTCGGTCTCTTGTCTTTTATTCATTGATGTTAGTTTCTTATTGAGCTGTATCGCTTCTTGTACTTCAAAAGTTAAAACATGTTAATATATACTTTCATATTTGAATGAATATTTGATTTATAACTGCAATGTATGTGTATATAATTTATAAAATAATTAAATATCTTCGTGGAAAGGAGATTAAGACTGCAAATATGACTCAACTGCTTTTTCCGTATAGTGTGATACTATCCTGGAGGATTACATCAGGTGGTACCAGTTGTTCTATACCTCAAACAATGAGTTAAGACTTTTCTGTATGTTGGTTTGCTTTTTTTTTTTAAATTGTAATTTAATTTTTAGTTTCATTTGGTGTCACTTTATTAAGATTACTTCTCCATTAACTCTTAATCTTACTTTTGTTTTTTTAACTAAGGCTTTGCTTGTAATTTTCTGATAAATTTAATTATTTTTAGAGGAAGATAGAATTTTTGTTATTTCATTAATGTTTTCTGTCCATTTCCCAACATTAAACCTACTTCAAAGAGCATTCATTTTCCCCTATTTGCTAATTACTTTACTTTCACCCCCTCATTTCAGCAGGTGCAACTGTTTATGTTGATTATGCTGAATGGCAACAGGAAGCTGATCCAAATTAAGTGTAATTTTTTAATGTTTGTTTTTTCTGGAAGATGTGGGTCTGCTGCTGGATTGTGTTGAACACAAATCAGTTCCTCAATATAATTTACCCTGTGGTTACACACACAACTGTAGTAGTGTATCAGCCAAGAGCAGAAGAGGTACAGGACCTGTGCTGCTTAACCTGGCACTGTCACAGAAAGAAACACTGATGAAGCTACTGACATACAGTAATTATCAGTTGGTATATTTGATGCTTGGCACACAGTAGCTGCTGGTTTTCTGAATTGTCAGGTGCCTCCAATTCAGTATTGTCAAAACACGGCAAAAACAAATGCTGGAGGACATTTAAGACATACATACCACTGTGCTCTAGTTTTCCATGAACACCTTTGATGATTCCAAACTGACATGCAATAGTAGCGTAACACCTCTCAACTTCATTCAGTTTGTTATGATGCTCCTCTTTTGCTGTTAAATGCATCTGTAATTTTTGATCCTGTTACAAACATAAATGAAGCACATACTTAATGATAGTAACTAGCATGTACAAAACAACTCTCCAAATGCTTTTTATCATAATAGCATAAATGCAAAATCATTCCCAGAATCTCTCAGTTGTGTATTTCATATCTAATGATCAGTTCCCATTTCCAGATAGTACCTCATTCCGAAGACCTTCACCTGTGTCTTAGATTATCAAAAAAGGACTTTAACATATTTTCATATGCTGTCCCTTATATTTAGGAGAACTTTCATGTAGATGTTTGCAGAACTGCATTAACTGTTTTCAAATCCTGATTGCAAGTTTTCCTTTGTTACGTGTCTTAAACACGTAATTCAATCTGCCATTGTATTGTGATCATAGCCTAAGATGCTAATGGTGCCTGTGGTTTGTACTTGTCCTCCTACACTACCACTCAGTGCAGTATTGCATTCTCTCATTCCTTTGATGTAGGATGTTCATGTAGATTAATGCAGTACCCACCCCACATCAGCTATTCAGTACTTGCCCATGTCTTTGGCTGCAGTTTCAAAACAATACAGTAGTTTCAGCAGCTCTATGTTTGTACCTCATTGCCCCGGCTGCTTATTTGTCCTTACTGTAGTATTAAACCAAGTATACCACGCTCTCAGGTCGCAGCAATGCAACAAAATACGGGCCCTGTTTAAAAATTCTAGACAGCTTAAATCACAGCCTCCACAACCAGTTGTCCCAGCACCTTCATAGAGGAGCACAGGGCAGAAATGTGTAAGTGGACGGAGACAGGTAAGAGTAGGAGCTCCTTAAACTTTGGCAACAGTGCTAGTGTATGCATCATGAAAATAAGGCCTACAGACATTTATTCTCTCCTGTTACATAACAAAAGCAATCTATTACGCAAAGTGTTCAGTCTTCTTTGTAAAGCCACTAGTAAAAGTCGGCTTCCTTTTATGGTCTTAAACACTTTCCAGCATAACATGGTTTTAATCAACAAGGAAAACTTTTAAAGCTATATTGCAATACAAACTCAAACAAAAATACTGGTTTTTTTTTTTCAATTCAGCATTGTTCAAAGTATAGGGCCACTATGATAATCAAGGGATTTGAGCATCTGTCATGTGAAGAGAGGCTGAGGGAGCTGGGACTGTTCAGCCTGGAGAAGGGTGACTCAAGAAGATCTTATCAATGTGTATAAATACCTGGTGGAGGGGAGGAAACAAAGAACACGTAGCCAGACTCCCCTTAGTGGTGCCCACTGACACCAAGTGAAATACAGGAAATTTCACCTAAACCTGAGGGGAAAAAAATTCCTGTATGGGTGGTCAAACACTGGAACAGGTTGCACAGACAGGCTACTGAGTCTCCCTCTGCGAAGATACTCAAAACCCAACTGGACATGGCCCTGTGCAACCGGCTCTATCTGACCCCGCTTTGAGCAGGACAGGGTTAGACTAAGCCATTTCCAGAGATGCCAGACAGCCTCATCCATTCCAGTTCTAGGATTGTTAAAAATGACATACTGCAAGAACAATCAGGAGAAAACTTGTGTATTTGACACACCTAAATAAAAGAATTTCAACGTACTTCGTAAAAAACAGAAGTGCATCAACTATTTCCAAGGAGTAGTGGTGGTGACTTTGATTTAGATTAGTGAAAGTAATGCACATTAATACCCCATGCTTCCCAGAAAAATGTAAGTAATCTTATAATGAATAATTATGAATTCCTCAGTATCAATTAGCAGTTGTAATATCTTGAAGCATGATGAATTCACTTCTACTTTAAGATTATGTATCCGTAGGGTTTTTTTCCTAACTACTTTTGTAAGCATCTAACACTTTATTTTTTCTTCTATTAACATCTTGGCCTAAGTAATATCTTATCACAATGACTCCCACATGGTAATTAAGTAAAATGTATTTAAGTTTCTGAATTTTACCAATCTCTCTCTCTTTTGTAAAGGGGTGATTGAAAATACATATTCACAAGAAACTATATTCAGTCGTGACACATGCCACTGATTTTTAAAAAATTATTTGTTATCCTTTCTGTCACATACACTAAGTTTTTTGTGTTCCTCTTTATACTGTATTTTTGTTAATAGCTTTGTAGGTACTATTTGGTCAATTTTTAAAGTAATTTTCTCTGAAGAGAGTGGGTTAAATAATTCCTCAGAAAAGATATCCATTTATTTAGACATCTAATCTATTTCTAATCTACAGTAGAGCAACACAGCAATTAAAATTAATTGGGCCAAATTCATTCCTATGTGTAAATTCAAGTTACACAAGGATGAATCTGGCCCAGTCTGTTTGGCTTCCATAAGGCTCCATTTCCATACAGTAACAAATGGAATACATGTCGAAGCATCAGAGGATAATAAAAGCTGATAGTAATCAAAAGAAATGACCAACATAAGGCTAGCAAAACAGGATATACAATAAAAATTTCTCATGTTTTATAAGGTATGAAATTAAACACACTACAGCAAATGGAAAACCATAATGGAAGCACTGGTAAAGAAACACCACCACTTACAGAATCACTGCAAGGAATATAGGTTGTGAATGTTCCTACCGTTTCTCTTCTTCCTAGTCGTAAGTAAACCATTCAAGAACTGTGCTTAACTAATGCTAGAATGTGGATTTCACAACAAAAAAAAAAATAAAAAGGAAAAAAATAGATTTGTTTTTCCTGATAGTCATTCAGGTGAATTTATTCTAAGAGACTGATGAACAGGGAAGCATTGCTAATTTGAGACTGGAACAGCTTGTGGCAAGATCTCAGTTTTTTTGCACTTTCTTTTACATGGATTTTTCTTAGGGGCCTCCCAATTTCTTTCTTAAGTCAGCAGGACAGCGTTAGTCCCTCCTCCTCACTAGAAAAGTAGAAATACATTTTGTTGTTTCCCAGGGCTCCTTCCAATGAGAAAAGGGGTTGGCATGCTATAGCCTCAAAAGTTTTATTAAGAGCTCACCACTTGCCTTAATATGATTTTTAATGGCGAGCTGATCTCCAGGCTTGGTGCACAGTAAAATAAAAGCAGTCTGGTTTGCCTTCTGGCATCCTTCCCTGGGTATGTGATTCTTCTCCTCACAGTGAAAAGGTTCTTCCATAGAAGACAATCAAGAAACACCAAGAGACACTGCAGGATAGGGAGGGTATGACCCTGGAGTTGGAGTAAGACCCACAGAATCTTGCTTCTCCTTCCTAATGTCTGATACCGCAAGAACAGGAATTATTGCCCTGCCCTCCACCAGTAATAAAGATAAGCTGGGATGGGGAGTGGAACTGATTGTGGCCATATGGCTTGTTGAGGCACAATGATTTCTTGGTGGAACTAGACCAGAGAAATACTTCAGGGTCAGGTAGGTGACTGGAGGAAGACAAAGAGGGAATTGCTCATATCTCAAAGATATTCTGGAAATTGAGTCACTAGTCAGAGTTACTCAGCGAAGCAGAAGGTGGTAATTGGGAGGTGAAAGTGTCAGAGAAACAAAGAGATCATGTGAAAATTATGCAAAGGGTTACCAATTGTAAATCTTTAAAACAGGAATTTTTTTCCACAATAGTTCCTTTAGTTCCCACCATTGTTCTACTTAAAAACAATTATTTTTAATTTATACTGTATCCCTGCCTTCTCACTGTATTTTTAAACAACATAGTATAATTACAGGCAAATTCCTAAAAGATGTGGAAAGGAAATAAAAATGACATTCCTATCTTAGATTATTAAGAACAAACCAACTTTTAAAATCATATTTCTTTAACATTTTACATTCATTTTTCATTCATTTGGCAACTACATCTGTATTAGAAAACTAAATGGTAGCAGGGAAGCTCTCAGGAAATGCTTATACTGTTGTTAAAATATCTCTGACCCATTTTGGCCTATGCCAAGTAGCACTCACGTGAGCAGCTCCCGAGCACAGTTCAGGAGACTGTCTGCTGGGAACAACGTGGCTTATTTGGATGCAGCTTCCCTCGTTTGAAGAGCAGTAGAGTTTAATGAACCTAGACCATTTAATATCACTTGGCTGCAGCTTCACTAAATGGTCTTACAAACATTTAGTTTACCAGTATAAACAGTCAGCAAGTGAAACTAGACTAACTACCAGTCATTCACAGAGGCGGTCACCCCATCTGCTTTACTCATTAATACTAATGCACTGAATCACTACCTTGTGGACAGTGTTGTCTCCTGTCCTGGTTTCGGCTGGGATAGAGTTAATTTTCTTCCTAGTAGCTGGTATAGTGCTGTGTTTTGGATTTAAGAGGAGAATAATGTTGATAACACACAGATGTTTTAGTTGTTGCTAAGCAGTGTTCGTACTAAGTCAAGTACTTTTCAGCTTTTCGCCTTCCCATACTCTGCCAGCGAGGTGGTGCACAAGCAGCTGGGAGGGGACACAGCCAGGACAGCTGACCCAAACTGGCCAAGGGGCTACTCCATACCATATGATGTCATGCTCAGCATATAAGCTGGGGGGAGCTGGCCGGGAAGGAGGGACTGCTGCTTGGGCACAGGCTGGGTGCCAGTTGGCAGGTTGTGAGCAGTTGCATAATTTGTTTTTTCCTGAGTTTTATTTCTCTCTCTTTTTGTTATTTTCCTTTTCATTACAATTTTTTAATTATTATTATATTATTTTATTTCAATTATTAAACTGTTCTTATCTGAACCCAGAAGTGTTCTCACTTTTACTCTTCCATTTCTCTCCCCATCTCACTGCAGGGGGGCACGAGCAAGCAGCTGTGTGGTGCTTAGCTGCCGGCTGGGGTTAAACGACAACACTCCCCATTGACTGCACAGAGATCTTGCACTCCAAATTTGCTCTTCTAAACTGCACACAAGATTTGGTCTCTAAACCAGCCAACACTAGCCTTAATCTCATTCGTCTTTTTTTATATTTTAACACCATGATATATATTTAAGACCTAGGTACTGCAGAAGACGAATAACTCTACATGCTCACTCTCTCAGACATGTCCGTGATCAGACAATGCAAGTTAACAAAGCAACACATGAACAGACAAAAAATTTACTTTAGGGTTTATTTTCTACTCAACATCAGCTTTTACTCTACACTCAGAGTTCTAGCATTCTACATTGTATCACCTGCCAGGAAATTAATGAAGGAGGAAACCAAGACCTGACCAAGGCCATTTTCCTCCAGTTATTTCTTTATTTCAGCAGCAAGAAAAAGAACACAATACAGAACCCACACTCAAACTTATTCTATCAGACAACTAGCTTTGCAGTAATCATCCTGTAGCCTCCTGATTGCATGAGTGCTACTATCCATACACAGTGAGGTGCAAAGTGACTACACTGCACACAATAATCAACGCTTATTGTGGAAACAAAGGAAAGGTGGAAGAAAAATAAATCCTTTATTTCTTTGTCTCTATACAGTCTTTCACTATGAAACAAAAGCTTCCGCTATTTCAAAATTCTAGCAGATATAAGAATTGTATCATCACTACAATTTTCACATAAACTTAACTGGATAGCATGCTAAAACATGGTGTATATGCAATACCTTAACATTGCATATGCTAGACTAAAAGAACAATATTAAAGGAACAAAACCAGAATAAAAAGCTACATCGTTAAGGCATGCTCAATCCCCAGCACATACAAAAGCTACTTTACTGACTGGCAGGGTTTCTAAGGTGCCACATATAAACTAAACAGCACATCTGCTTACTTTCAAAACGCTAGCCAGGGCATGATCTAATCTGTCTTTAACAAACTTAAAACTGAAATAGAAATAGGTCTCAAATAAATGAAGGGTTTGGAATTTCACCCATTTTACTTTTAAACATTTTGCCATTTGTGATAACTGTCTAAGAGAGCCTACATAGGCTACTACTACTTTGATCCCTAGAACGTACCGTTTATTTCAGTGCAACTACTCAAGGAGTAAAGTTGGTAGGATTTGACCCAGTCTAAAACTGTATGTATTAGCCTGCTGCTGCATAAGGTTGTAGGAAAGAATCCACTTCTGTTTACCTTGTGGTTTTTTGTTTTCATCATTTCATATCAGAGCATCTTCTATAAACATGGCCAAGCCACACATGTTATGTTTAGTGCTACGTGGAAAAGAGGATTTCTGATATCTTGTCCCCCACTCAATCGCATTTAATAACCATACTCTGTATCAAAGTCACAGTACCCCAATGTTTTCAAAATATTCAAATAATCAATTATTGAAAAGTTTACAAACCTAAGAAAGGAAGATATTTGTTTAAGCAGCATAGATGTATTTCCAGCTCATAGAAAAGGTGTTGCGATTTAAATATCCTCATTCATATGGAAGATTGAGCTTCCAAGTTATGAAAGAAAAGTAATATGTGAAATGACCTAAATGTAAGTTCAATAATTTTGTATATTTTAAACATATTTTTAGATTAGATGTATTTTAAGAATAAATACAAGTTAAAAGTGAAGTAAGACAAAACACATTTTATGTTGCCTTTGATCTTTAACTTGTAGCTTTATCTCCCAGGTCAGAGGGCACATTATTCAATTTCACCATATTTTGTGTAAAACCACTGTAGCGTTGAAGATGACTTTCAGTACAAATGTCATGGTACTTAAAGCTAAACTGGACCCTAGTTTTTTGAGCTTCTTAATTAAAATCACAGTTTGTAATGGTCTGACAATATTATCTTTATTCTTTCCAGTTGAGCAGCAGCAGAATTTTCACAGCATTTATTCAATCAAGCTTAGCAATGTTTCTGTGGCTCACTCTTTCACTTCCTAAAACAGACAACAGGGTTCAGAGCGACTATGCTGTCACTCTATATAAATTTATTCTCTGTGTCAAAGGGAGTAAACTGGACTGGATGAAATCTAAACTGTTCAGGGGAACTGACGTTAAGAAGTAATTCTGAGAAGAGGAGTGAAAAAGAGTGAGAGGAAAAACGTTATCAGTTTTTCTTAAAAAAAAAAAAAAAAGAAAAACAAACAACTAAAAGAACTGCTTGGAATTCTCTATTACTTCTTTGAGAGGAATATGCTAGATCCTATAAGGGTAATATAATTACATTATTCAAATCACAGTCTATAAAAAGTCTTCACTCTAATCTACAAAGAGAACAAATGTACGAATTATACTGTAATTCAGGGAGAAAAAAATCCACATGATAAACAGCAGCTATCAAACTATAAAAAACTAAAAACACTGTATTTGAAATTTTTTCAGATTCAAAGCTGATATCACCTCTTTCAGTTATTTGTAATAATTATCACACATCATTTAAGCAATAGAGTTGGTTAGTATTCGCATTGTACTCTAAGCAGACATTCTCTTTTCATAAAAGCTGTTCCTTATCTTTTTACTTTTATTAATTTCTTACCATTTCATTCAGTTTCTTTTGTAAAGTGTATTTTGAAATCTGTAAAATAAAAGAGAGCTATTAATTAAATTGTAGTTACATTTTTTTCCAACAACTCGCATATTTAAGTATTCTCATACCTAAGATTTAATTGCATTTATTGGCAATCCAATACAGTAATACTGGTTTTGAATTAATGATGACACTATTTCTTTTATTATTTGATCACTTTACATAATTTCACTTCAATATTTAAATTATCTAAAAATACTTTACACTGATTTGTTACTGGAAAAATTTTGAAAATGCATAAATCCTTGTGTTTTCTGACACGTGTCATAAAAATAGCGTGTAAGTGGACTACAGTCTGTAAACTAGACCCTTAGAAATAAACAGAGAAGAAAACAGAGATAGAAATAAAAGTATTCCCTCAAGTCCTAGAGGAATATAAGTGTGTTCCCTGTTCGAAAAAAAAAATTCTAGGTAGATATTCTGAATAGTGGCATATAAAGACATATTGTACCAATCTTGCATGCTTTAATAATATGACTGACATTTGAAGTCATTAACACTTTTTCATACACCATTGACATCAGAGAATTTTTGCATAATACTTAAGATCGCAAGAGCTTTAGCCTCTATATCTCTTAGAACATTTAAAGAAACACTGACAATGCCTAGGGGGGAAAAAAAAAAAAAAAAAAAAGACAGAAATGTCAAGGAACCCAGTGTGTGTAAATCTTACACAGAAAATATTACTTCTAGAAAAGACTAAGCCTAGAGAACAATCATTTTAAGGTAGAATTCGGACTCTCTGGATAGAGAGGACTACAGAAACGAATTAGAAGTTCCTCACTCTTATTTTAGTCTGATTTCCAAACAATTTTTTTCTGGGTCCACAGGTTCATTGTGACCTCCCGCTTCATCAAGTCACAGCAGAATTTCCTAGATCTGAACTATACTGTTACACAAATGTTTGATCTGTGAACATTAAACATTTAATGTTAAGCTTTTTTTTTTAAAATTTCTGTTTTATCTTACAAAAGAAAGGCCAGTGGAATCTTTCATTACTCTTGCTGTCCACATATTATGTTCAGCAGACCATGGAGGGATATTCTACATCATCTGTCCTACGCCAACAAAATCCTTTACAGCTATTGCACAGGCGGCCAGCCATGGGAATAAATTTCTTTTGCTCCTAAAATACCTTCAGTGTTAACTAAAGGATTAAGCAAACAGTCTGATACCAAGTAAATGCATCCCATTATAAGAAAATGTTAATAAGAACCAAACATGTTGCAAAATCATGGGTAATAATCCATTATAACCATTTTGTTTTCAATAGAATTAATTATTATCCCACTCGGTTTTGGGTAGAAAAAGAATTAGTTCCTGGCAATACCTGAAATCTGGCAGTGCATTACAATGCTAATTCTCTTCTGTGTTGAAAAAAAACCTTCAGAGTTCTTCTCATTTAATGCACTTTCAACATATCTGCCTTGGTCTTTAAAAGAAAACTAAATACTAGCTATGTCCCTATGTCTTCCTTTATTCCAAATAACTGTGAATCACAGCCACAAGTGCTCCAACACCACGTAACAATATAAAATACGATACAGAAATAACACCAAGTGGCACCAGAGTAAATTGTGCATTTATCCAACAATTTTACTGACAAACAGGCATTGGAAAGCCATGGAATAAGCGGTAAATATAGAAACCTCCTAGTGAAACAAATTAAAATAATAAAAAAGCCAGGTAGCACTGTGAGCTGGAAGGCCAGTGCGAATATTTGTTTCTGTTTAGGAGCCCAAAAGCAGAGTTTCCAGAAAGGTGAGAAGTAAGAAGACAAGAATAGAAAGAAAGAGGAAGACTGGAAATGAAAAGAAAGCACGTTTCACATGCTATTTGGACTTCTATTGAGTCTGCAGTTCTTCTGGAGGAAAAGAACTTTAGCTGGAAGGCTAACTTAAAGTAGTCTTGACACACAAGACCAGAACAGAAACTCAGTGTTAGAAAGAGAGGTGTACATGTACTAGAAAGATTAAATGAGAAGGCCTTAAAAACCTGCTTAAAAACAACTGTTTTCTTACCAGTGAAAAAACCTAAAACCAACACACTTGCATACCAAGGAAAGTTATTTAACAAAAATAATAGTTTACCTGTAATGCTTTTAATGCTTCTTTCAGTCCATCAATTTCTTTTTCTTTTGTTTCTACAGCAAGTTGATATTTTCCCTTTCAACAAAAGCTGTACTTCAGGATTTGGGCAGAATAAATGCATTTATAACAAGAATTTATCAAAAAGAATGTTATGAAAATAAAGCAGTACTCTGCTATGACAGAACAATTCATTGGTGAAAACAGGTGACAATTCAGCTAAATAATTTTAAAATGTACATATATATGGCTATAAAAAGAAAAGTGAAAACATGATAGTATATTTTCACCATTTATGACTAGTCAGTCAGTTTTAAAATTTTCTATTCTGGAAGAGACAAGCCTGACAAAGGCAGAATTAATAAGTTACTTCAGTTTAGAACAAAGATACTAAATAACAAAGGAAGTATCAGGTAAATCCATTTTCTTATCCACTGTAGCAGGTTCTTCACAGAAACAACCTTCTCAGCTTTTCCAGTCCACAAAGATTGAACTGTAATCTGCTATCACTAGAATTATTAAATACATGCAGGCACATTTTATATTTTTATATATCTATGTATGCATGTGTGTGTGTATACACACACATATATATATGCATGTGAATAAAGTCAAAGAGCTTCAGTGTACTTAAATCAGGTAAGAATCTTGGGCAGCAATCAATACAACGGAGAGCAGAATCTAGATATCAGAGAATATGCCAGGGAAAACAAATACATCCATTCAACCACCCCTGCATTCGTTTCTAACATAGCACTGGCTATGCAATCTCCTGAAACCACCCTGATGAGTAAAAGTGCGTATAATATAAATTGGAGCAAAAATTGGTCTTTCTATTCAAACTCTCTCCTGAAACATTACAGCTTAACTTATTCTTTCAGTTACTTTGATATAAAGTACTGAAAGTACTATTCAATTCAATGGAAGTATTTAGAGGAAAAAATAAAAAAATCAGCACACAATTCTGAAACAGTGGCTGTCATTGAAAATACAAATCAAGGATTACTACGTAGGTATGTGTGGACAAACAGGATGTCTTAACAAGAAAAAACTCCAAATACAAGCAAGAAAATAACTCAACCAGATTGTATGAATGCAGCAAACAATGCAGTTTACTTTGATATACTTTCAAACCAGTTTCACCTGTTTGCGAATTTCTGTGCAAATTCTAATGAAACATATAGCATACTCATCCACTTTTAATCATTGGGATATTTAAGTGAAATGCACACACTCATTGGCTTCACTGTTTGAAACAGGCTCCTAGTATACTAAATGCAAATCCTTTATTCAGAAGAGGAAGCAGGCACTCAGCTTGGTATAAAAACTCATGTAGTTAAGCAAAATCCCAGAAATTCAGGTTTAAGTATATCTCTCTTCAGTTTAGTTCAAGTTCCTTAGGAAACCAGCTCAGGTAAATCAATAAAACCCTATTAAAATCTGGTTTTACTAAACCAGTTATAATTGTCATTTTTCACTAGTACGTGAAAAGGGCTTATCACAATTCGTCCCAAACCCCCAAAATAAAGTAAATTTTGTATAGCTTCAATATAGAACTATCAAAGAACACTTATTCCCCTACTGATTTTTAGCATAAGCAGATTTTAAAGTGACATTTCACAAGTAATTAAAAACTTCTACACACTATAAACAAAAACCCCAAAGTAACAAAGGTATGAAGAAATTTCTTTTGCAAAGGCCATAGCAAGAAAAATAATTTCACTGTAATATACTTAGTACATGTTTGGTAAGTTATATAGCATTATCTTTCGCTTATGTGCTTCACTGGATGACAAACAAGTAATTCTAACACGGTACCTTTTCTTCTTCCATGGCAAACATCCTTGCCTGTAACTTGATTGTCAGCGGCATAAAAAAAAAAAAAGAAACAACAAATCAATACAGCACATGGGATTGATTCATTTTATTCATGCAACTTGACAAGACAATGTAGTTATATTACCCTGCATAGTATACTTCCTGTTTTTTTTTTTCTTTAACTGTTCTTTAACTATAGAGTCACAATCAGCAAGCTTGTGAATCACAAATTATTTTTCCAAGAAAGAAAAACCTAATGGCTTATCAATTTCTTTTTTGCATGATATGATTGTGATGCAGCATTAGTGATAAATTCTTCATCACCACGTGCAACAGGTTCAGTTCCTGTGACTGTTCTCTGCAAGTTCTTTCAGCACTCATATTTATTGATTAGATATTATGGAGAAAAAAACCACAACCCCAATTTGAGAGACTGAAACACACTTTCAAATGTTGAACAGAATAAGTTATGTGGGAGATCTTTCGCCATGGCTTATGAATCTAGCCTTGCAGAGGACCTGCCATCTTAGAAAGGGGGGTGAAAAAAAACCCCAAAAACAGATTAAAAGAAGCATTATCCTCTCTAGGATTTTTTTGAAAAATAAAAATGAAAAATCCCAGGAAGACTGGCTTACTGGGAAGAACTGTCAAAATACAAGCACTATACTGTGTGTGGATGAAAGAAAGACCTGATTTACTTTGAGTTGTATAATCTAACATTGTATATGCAACAGAAAAATATTTTAATACCAATTGATAACATGCTATTACGCCATCATATTTTAAAATCTCCTTGTCAAAGCTAGAAGGCCTTATTTTGCTACCTGTTTTTTAAAAGCTGCCATAGCTTCTTTGTTTTGTTGGTGCAATGTGTCCATCTGATGCTGCAGAGTTTCCTGCTCATGTGAAATAACAATAGCGTGTTTTAAATATTATCTTATAACAAACCCTACATATAGTATTTCAAGAAAAACCTGATTCCTTGTTAAATATTTTTATAAAGACATGATTGATTAAAAACAAAACCTGAAGACTAAAAAGAGACATTTGTTAACTGGTAATCATCTTTTTGGTAGCAGCTTCTCTTTAATTCATGACAGGTAACAATTCTCACCTCTGGAATTCAGATTTGTTGTTGCTAGGACTTCTATAAGCAACTCTTACCCACCGTATCAGCCAGCAGAAGCAATCCAATACCCACTGCCATCTTAAGACAGCATCTTGACACAGTTCCAGGTAGTTATAATAGAATTTAAATTTTAGTCTCCATTAAAAAAAATACAATCCCATTAAAAATAACAACCTGTTATTCTGTTTTTAGTTAAATTTCAGTCTTTTAACAAATTACATGAGAGAGCCGAAGGAGGGCAGAAAAGACTAAGCGTAAGGTGATAGCGTAAGATTTTTATCATCCTACTGCCTGGCTTTACCCTCATCCATAAAAGCAAGAAAATGAGTTAAAGATGTACTATTATTTTTATTTTTGTTATTATTTCATATCATAATCTCATAGACTAATACTACACTCTGCAAGTTGGAAATCTTTAACATCTTTAAGCATCATGTCCCTATACAAGATAGTAAAAAAAAATCTCCCACAATCGAGGTGAAGTAATGTTTGTAAGATCAGGTTTTTTTAAGTTCTAGACACTAAGAAATATTAGGTAAAGGTAGTCAAGAGGCTCTGTCCTTGAACAGCTATCTCAAAATACAGATGAGTGTTTAGCTAAGAAATATTAGTGTGAAGTAGGATATGATTAAGTAATGGCTGCACAAAAATATAAATTGAGACTATTAAAGAGAATGACTGGGAGAAAATAAATTGATCATGTTTCACACACGAGACATCTAATTTCTTCTCCTGCCTTAAATGAGAAATTGAGAGTTTTTCAGACATAATGCCCGTTCCAAAATTGCTACTTTCTCCAGCAAATTGGTGTTACTTTCAAGTTCCACAGGTGAGAGCTGTTGCCCTTTGATACAAGACAAGAATCTGTGGAGGTTTTAGATTCATCTACATACTCATTAATTCATTGTAAGATAGGTAGAGAAAGTTTTGATTTGCATTGAACAAACAATACCACATGAATAAATATTCAAAAATGTGAAAACAAAAGTCTTGAGGAATGTTTTCCTCAAGTTGTCACTTAGAACTGTGTTCAAAGACACAGGTTCTCTAGTGGGTAAAGGGCACATCAAATATGCTAGAAAGCCAGAAATGGTACTGCAGGGACAGCAAAATCAACTATTCTCAGTGGAGTATTCCTACTCACCACAGGAATAAAATTTTGTATCCACAGTACTGTCGAATCAAGATGACACTTCTTTAGATTATAGGAATTCAAGCCAATATTATATACTAATTTATGTAGATATAAGTTCTGTTTCACAGAACAGTCATCCTTTACACAATTTTGTCATTGATGTAATTGATAACTGGAAATAAGCATTACTGAGCTCTTCATAATATACCACAGTCTTCCTTGTACTGTATATTCAAGTGATGTATTTTACTATAAAAAAAAGAGACTGGGAAGTTTCTACAAATATTCATTTCCTAACAGGCCTCACAGCCAAGACTATTAAATAAAATGATTATATATAACTTTTTCAGAAATTCAGTTTTGGAATAAATTTTCCATACATGCCATGTATGCGTGGTGCAGGGAGAGTGAAGAACAAAGTTACTTTTTGAAAATATAAGCAAAATCACCTTTGATATTGTGATGTTATAGTAAGCATAATGAGTATACTCATTAGATTTAAAGGAATATTTTCTCCAGTTATTCTGTCTTCCGTACTCTAGTATATTGTTTCCAAGAGCAGCAACAATATTAATAAAATGTAGACAAAGATTTGCTTTAAAATTGTAATATTAAACCAGAAACTTAGCTCAAGCCATGTCTTTAGTTTAAACTAGTTTGCGAAGTTTGAGGTAAAATAAAATATATACTGAATCACAGAAATGTTGACTGAAAGGGATATCTCTGAAGGAAAAAAATATAACAGAACCTTTAGCTTTAGACAGTAGTAAGTGTCTACTTACTGAACTACTATTGAGGTTAATTTGATTCTGCATTCAGAAACCATCAGGTCACAAATTCAATTTAACTGTCATACTTGCATTTTCATCTTACTGGAATCTCCAGAATTGGAAACTCCTATTAGCTTGTTCCTTTGAAGTTGCAGAGCTCTACATATGTGTTCACATGAAGTTCCTAAAATCTACAACTCATTGTTTACATAAGGTTTGCCATGTTCCAACGTTAAATGGAAAATGCAGAAAAAAAAAAAAAATTTCACCTAACTGCCTGAGTCCCATCTTATTATTAACTGTAAATTAAATTGCTGTGAAGGTCTCAGAATGAATGGAAATCATCCCTTTTGAACCCAGATTATTAAGAACTGCAATGCTAGGTTAAGAAAAGCAAAGAAGGGTTACAAATTGAAAGCACTGTTGCTTTTACAAATATAAAATGTTTCCTGTTTCTGTGTGCACATATATATCTTTCAGAAAAAAAGCACATAGTTAGGATTATTAATTTAAGATGGTTAGGATGAACTCCAAGATGAAATAGTCTTCCTTTACTACTAAGATGTTAAATATCCCAAGATCAAGGATAGAGCTGAAATTATTGTTTTTTCTGTGATCGTAAAATATACAGAGTGAAGCCTTTTATCTTGTGACCTAGTGACAGGGGTCATAGGTTTGATTGTATTAGAGAAGGGAATGGATTTCCTATGAAAGCATAACCTCAGGAGCCCTAAGCCTAAGAAGAATGTTATACTTTACTGAAAACTTCATTCTGAGCATTTAAAAGCTGACAAACCCCTTTTGAGTATGTCTAACAAATTTCTGTTTAATATAATTTTTTGGAAAAATCGTCACCTCCAAAACATTGCAAGTGAAGTTGTTTGTACAACTGCACTGGTACTTGCACTTGTCAAATACAAGCATAATACAGAGAAGCTGCTGCGTAGCTTCCCCCGCGCTAATGTGTCAACATGCCTCATGTTAAGCTAAATGTCTTATTGCTTCAATATTTACATCCCTTTTGACTGCAGATTTCCAGTCATGCCAAATACTATGATGGCACTCTTTTGTTAATCAGATTTCTAGGTTGGGCACAATCCAAATCAATATAAAAACTAAAGAAGTTCACGGCTAGACAATAAACTATTGGCTACCACATTCTACTACTAGAAATTACGATAGCCTGAAAAAGGGGAACGGTACCAAATCACAATCCATATTAATATTATATTAAAATTAAATCCCAGCAGTTAAAATACTAAAACCATGTAGGAAAGTTACCTTCTGCCACTCAAGCTCCTGTTTCTCTACAACAATTTTACTTATTTGATCTTCATAATTAATCTCTGTTTCCTAGTTAAAAAACAAACAAGTTTACATAAGACAGTACCTGCAAATCAAACACCAACATAAGTCGTGTATTCATACTCATCTTCCTTTATAGTTCAGTACACAGAACAGTATGTGCCTACACACTGGACAGCAAAAAAGGAAACAAAAGCTCTCTGAATGTGGTAAAACAGCAGAGGAGTTCAGCTGTTTTGGTCAGAAAATTTGCAGAATAAATATCTTAGATTGAAATGCATAGCAGAGGATCAGGAGCTAGGATTATAGCTCTCTTAATTAGCAGGAACAGTTCCCTCTTCATACATATTCTCTTCTGCATCTTACAACAAAACCAGACTCAAAGGGAATAAACCAGATGACTTCACAGCTGAAAAATGATTTAATATTCTGATGAACCAAGTTAAAATACTGAGATGAAGAGAAATTCAGCAAGCTGCAATTAGTGCTTCAAGAATCAATTGTTAGACAACGGTTAATGAGTCAGAATCTTTGGGACATCTTAATTATTCAACTTCAAGCATTTGAATCTTTATTCGTGTTGACATCTCACAGGACAACTGAAAGTTTGCCTGTAAGTCAGCAATTACTTCTGTTATTATGGAAAAAGTGAAATATTTATCATCACCTTCTGTGCCAAGAAGCCTCCTGACCTACCAGATGAAAGTAAGAAGTTAAACAGAAGTCATGGATAATCAACATGTATTTTTGATAAAATGAGATACCTGAAAATCTGAAAAGTCTAAAGTTTCCTTCACAATCCAGAAGATGGACTAGTAACAGGAAGGTGCGTTACATCTCCTCTTCTTGCAGAAGCACTTTGTCAAGAATCAAACTATTACTGTGGTAATAAATGAGACTTATCTGCTGATAATCACAGTTGCTAAAAATTTATGGGAATTTTCCTGAAATATTCTGGCATTAAAGTCAAATTTTCCTAACTAGAATCAGCTTCCCTTTTAAGTCAAATTTTTATGAGCACTGGCCTTCTCATACAATACTCAAAGGAAGAACAACAGGTTCCCCTATCAAACACTCATGACTTCTTGCGAGAACAGCATTTAGGCCTTTGATGTATACCATAAGCAATTCACTGCTGTCCTGTTACTGCATACAGTCAAAATAATGAATATCCTTTAAAGACCTAGAGAGCTACACTAATGTGTTGTTCTGAGCTTCAAAAGGCTGATTTCCTGCCTTTTCTCTGCACACTGATAATCACCTTGAAAAAGTGACCACATTAAGGTAAGATTGACTTCTCTCTGATGAATTGGTGCACTAGTAACATTTATTGAGGTCTTGTGTTGGACACACTCCAATAAGGGCCAAACCGACTGAGTATTCCCGATACTTGAACTGTGTTCTCTGAATTACTGTATTTTGATATATTATGTGCACCTTTATGCTTTTTCAAGTTCAACTTCCCCACTCCAGTTTAAAACCTGCATTCTAAATTGATGAAAAAATAAGCACTCTTGAAATGACTCATACCTCAACAGCCCAGACTACTGCAAAAGAAGTGGCTATAATCCTCAGGGAACCAGTGACAGCTCAAAAAAAAAAAAAAAAAAAAGCCATTTATGGATCTCTCTAGTAAAAAAGTAAAAGCAGGCCTCAAAAAGATTATTCTCTTTATATCAGGTTTTAAGTAAAATTCTACTGAATTGCAATACCATGAACAACTATTACTTACCATGAAGGAAAAAAAAAAACCAGAAAGAAATATCACCTCTGGATGAAGTGATCAATTTTCTGAAACAGTGAAAGAGAAAACAGGTTCTTCTGCCTTCCACAGCGAAGCAGAGAATACAAATGTTTTGGCTACAAAAAATAAAGTACGCTGCATCTTTAAGAAATGCAAAGCTTTCCTAAACCCAGTACAAATGAGGGTTCCAAGTTTTTAATACAAGGATATTTACAAAACTTCAGCAATTTGTGCAGAACTGTTTTAAAGTAGATGTTGCAACCCTTTCTCACTTAGTATAACGTTTGATCCATAGTCCCACTGTACTACCAATAGAAATAAAATGGCAAAATATGTCCAAAGGTGATTTAAAATAGCTTTTTGACACTGACATCTCTTATAGGTTTTAGGGTCAAAACTGACTTCCTTAATTAACAGGCAGTTTACAGGCACATGTGTGGACAGAAATAACACGTTTCTATCCACCGGAGGCTCCTCCTAAGCATTTCAAGAGTTACTTGTGGGATCTAAAAATATGCCTCAACACTCACGTGAATTTTACATATAAAATATTGAACATACATTTAAAATTAAAATTTGGCTCACAGAGAACTAGAGAAAAGTTCTTTAGCTTCTGCTTCTCTGATAGGTACCTGCAGAATATAGATGGAGAAGAGACCAAAAGATTTCATATGCTTTATGGTAAAAAAAAAAAAAAAAGGAAAGAAAAAAAGAGAGAGAGAGAGAGAGAGAGAGAACTGAAAACGTTATCAATGCTTCCTAGTTCTGCCTTAACAAATAGTACTTTGGAGTTGCAATGGATTTGTTTTCTGATACTAATCTACAAGTACTGAGAGAAAATACATCCCTCTAAGTTCCCCGGAGTGATAAAAACAAATAAGGTTGACTTACAGCTTCTTACAGAAGTGTAATCTTAAGCAATTTGTCATTAAGCAACAAATGGTATTAAAACGATATATTATTAGCAAAAGCCTGTTCAAAATTGTAAGAAGAAAGGATTATAAAATCCGACCCTTAAACATGCCATGTAAATTATTCCTAAACTAATCAAAATGCACTACAGTATTATTCTTCCCTAACTCCAGACTACATATTTCTACCGCTTCCCTGTGCAGGCACTAGCATATGTAAGGGTATTTCACAGACAAACCCAGAATTTTGATCCGGTGCACAACTAAATAGGGAGGAGGAGGTGGCCAGTTATCCCATGGATCAGATCTAGCCTCAAGGAATCGAAGAATGTGTACCAGTCCAACAGAAGCAACAGTAACATGTTGCTGCAGGAGATGTAGCATGGACTTAGATCAACATAAAGGACAGTAAAGCTGCCCGCAGCACACCTGAAGTACCTGCACAATTGAGTCCTAAGATGCTTTTTCATAACATGCTAGCTAATTTTTCAAGTACATATTTTGAAAACATGGAAACTAATCACACTGATTACTGCATTTCTTCAGCTTTATGCATATAACTGGCTCTCCTTTCCTCTGTAAACTCATCTAGTTTGGTGTATTTGTTATAAGCCGAAAACTCAAGTTTAGAGCATTTACAAAACAAACTTCAAACTGCAACTAGCATCAGACAAGAAATACAGCTGTGAAGATAAAGCGGTAACAGAGATTAAAAAAGCTTAACATATGCACTGTGACGCTGACCTCACTAAAATTTATCGCAAATATATCACTAATTTCAATGGTTGTTGGAGATCAACAAGTATCTATCCATATTAAACTTCCCATGAAATAAAGGGAAAAGAACGTAATATTTTAAAGGGGAGCAGCGTAGCAGATACTAGCGTTACAAATTCTTGACACAGAAAACTTCTATTCAAATAGACTGGGCTTACCAAAATGCAACTGTTACCTAAATGAAACCAAGCCTTTGGTGTATATAAAAAAAGAGGTAATTTTAGTACAAAACAACAAAAAGATTTTATGAACAATGGAACTGTCAGACTATTTGTAATCAAGCATATGCACCATTTCAATTTTAAAACGTGTAAGTATTTTAAATCCTAATGAGGACACTGAAAAGAAAATACTCACAGAAGTACATTTTTGTGCAGATACTTGGTTTAAAATTTTACAATTGTTCTAAGAAAGAGCATGTTAAAATTTAAGACATTTATAATTGTTAACTCCCACATCCACACCGAGCACTTTACATTTAACTAAATGAATACAATCATACAAGTTTGAAAACTGCATTAAATTCCATTTTAAGAGAGCCCTTTGCTTTGAATACTAAAGAGGATAAGAACCAAAGTTAAGTGAACAACACTCCTCCAACTTAGTCCCAAATTATAAAGGAAAACCTGGAAGCTATCAAAAATGTGTATATATGTAACTACTGTTGAAAAAAACAAACATCATAAATCCTTAAACTGAGAATGACTATTACATGATAAAAATGTTCTCATGTGAAATCACTAACAATTATAAGCCTTATCCATCATTTTTACTTCTTTCAAAGGACATTTATTGTTTATCCATTTTGAATTGAAAGCTTTTAAAACTTGTGTGAAGCACTTTTTTTTTTTTTTTTTTTAGAAGTTCCACCAGCTGTTTAATAAGACAAAAACATTTTTGTTATACTTAGGAGAATAATATTGTATATAACTTCGATGAGGTATCAAAAAACCACAAAACCTTAAAAGTGATCATTTTTTGATGCCTTAGGACTACATGGATTTAAGTGTTTTTATAAAAAAGGACTACCATAACAATAAAAGAGGAGTAATTTGATGGTTTATTTACTCGTTATAACCTTTAGAAAGTGTCAAGCCTTCTTTAAAGTGTTTGCTTCAGGCTGTAGTTTTACAAGATGGGCTGTGGATTGGTCAAGCCCCCTCGATTCTTGACCCTGAACAGATTTAGGAACAGAGTACAGCTGGCTCATGTCCAAGCAGCCAAAACTGCTGCTAGGTACTTTTATTATCTTTTTCGAACTCATAATCTACCTCCTACAAAATTGCACATCCAATTTCTCATGCAGGTCAATCAAATAGTACTCATAGAAACTACAGTTTCTGATTGTTTCATACTATAATTAGAATACCCTTCATGAACTAAACCATCCAGTACAACTTCTAGTAGACCGCATTTATATCCTTCTTAAGTTTTGTTCCCAGGACAAATGTTAAAGGGAGAGAAAATATTTGCAACAGCTTTATTATAACTTTAGTTCCTGATACAACATTTTTGGATCTTAATAGTTACAGTTAATGAAACCTTTAGTAACCATATATTTGGAATTTATTCTCAAAAACATTCCTTTTTCAGAAGCAGAGAAACAGAAATGTATA